AGAGAGAGAGAGAGAGAGAGAGAGAGAGAGAGAGAGAGAGAGAGAGAGAGAGAGAGAGAGCTCGACAGTTGGAGGGAGGATGGGAAGTGAGGAAGAGGAGTATGCGAAGAGTCGCGCGAGGGGAGGGAACCGCACCTAAACACCCTTGCGTGAACGCTCACTCACTCGTGCGTTTTCCTCATCTACCGGGAGAACGCGTGTGCGTTTCACTTCGTCTTTGCTCCCTTGCGGGAGAGACTCCCCATGACTCTCGCGTCTTTCTCCCGCTCCTCTTGTGCCTCTGTAATAATGTGCTCACATATTGGAGTACCTGAGAGAAGCACTGAGGGGGAGACGAGAGAACATAGGGAACGGCGCTGAGTATGACGGAGGGAGTCCTGTGAACCTCGAGGTGGACCGTATACCCCGTGTACGTATAAGCTCGATTCACAGATGTGTGTATGTGTGTGTGTGAAACATGCCTACATGCCCACGGCGGTAATAAGAGAAAATAAGTAAAACCCTAAGGTACGAACCGGAGGGGGCATAGGGCGGGTTGGCAGTGCGCGGCGCAGAGAGGAAAGGGGGGGAAAGGCGAAAGAGAGAGAAAGAGGAGGAGGAGAGGAAAAAGAAGGGGTAGAGAGAGGCGGGGAGGAGGTGAACCTGTTCCCGAGGGAGTTCCTTGACCCTCGGGGGGGCACACTCTCTCGTGAGCTTTCGCGAGACGCGAGAAGCCAACGGAGTAGCCACCATAATGCCCGCCGGCTAACTCGAGGCCCTCGAGTAAGCAAGTCCTCCGAGACGAGGAAAAGAGAGGGAGAGAGAGACGGAAAGCGAGAGCGAGAAGAATGGTGTATCTAGTATTACAGTAAGGAGAGGACAAAGGACAGCAAAATGGGATGAAATGAGAGATAAAGAAGGATAGAGGAGATTGAACGAGAGAGAAGGGAGAGATAAGGAGAGAACGACGGATGAACGTGGAGCAAGCAGCATCCCACTACTACTGATGTTCGTCTATCCGCCCATGTGGACCACGGTACACCACTCTCTGCGCTACCACACGACGGGTCGTCGTCGGATTCAAGAGACTGCCGCTAGAAGAGTAGAAAGAGAGAATAAATGCTCCACTGCACACATTGCTCTGTACTGTCCGTTACAGGCTTTTTCAATCGAAGAGAATTCTACTGCGATTGTAATGACCATGTTAATCAAAACTAGCGCGAGCACGTCATAAAATTTTATTTCGTAACTTAGAATTTTGCTTCTTCAATTTTTTATCAACTTTTTATCACTAGTAATATTTAGTGATTTACCAAAAAGAGGTGCAATAACTGAAGCGCGCGAGCTTGTTTTAATAAATTTTCATTGTATGTACCATAGATAAATAGAGAATAACTTACAATTGCAAAACTAACAAAAATACTTTTGGTAAATGTTTTTAATGGCGAATGCTCTCATATAAATTCAGAAATGAGAATTTTCTTCGTTTACATATTACCAAATTACCAATTTTCAGGAAAGACCCGGAAGACTACGTGTTAATCCGCGTGCATTTATAATTCTCCGATTACCAGACGTCGTATCACGTAAAAGTGATATGCATCATTACTATGTAATTCCTGAAAGGAGATCAGCGAAGAAGTTTCTTATTACAGCGATAATTTATAGCCATTTAACTCGGCTCGGCTTCTCAGTTCACACGATATTCTCAACACGCGAATTACGTGGAACGGTATACTATACTGTATGTATATGGGGCAGAAATTCAATGACGATCGTCACGACGCGACAGTGAGATGGCATCTCTCTTTTACGAGAAGCATTGCCCGCTAGTAGCCACATAATGACGATGGACACGCGACACCATAAGACTTATCCATTATTCATCACATCCAAAATCATTCTTCATAAATATATATAATTTTATCTTGCCAGCCGAAGGAGCTTACCGGGAACTCACCTTTCTGATTCGATAAACAACCGATTACCGATACGATGATTATTAGCGACATTTAAATACCTTTTTGTCTCAGAAAAAAGATCAATTTACAAATAGAGTACTTTGCGAATAGTTTTGTATCTTCAAGTTTAACCCAGTTATCGGTACATTTTGCAAATTCTTTCAAACCTTCACGGAGTGATAAGATTTTAATATTAAAAATATTATTAATAAAATAATTTGAGATTATTATTTGCATAAATGTCGCTCTATATATAGTATTTTTATACATAATATTTACTGGAAAAATTTGGAAACCTAGAATTTTGTCAGTACTAGGGAATTGGAATTTTATAGGTTACGCAGTACTATAATTGTAGAAAATAATAGATTACAGTCTCGTAGAATTTCTGTTATTAATTTATTATATAATTTATTTGCGTTGCTTGTATTCCATTTTAGAGAATTAGATTTAAAATTTCTCTATTTTTTTACCTTGATCTTGAACACCTATAGAAAATTAGGGAATATTTTTACAAGATTTTGGTAGATACCATATACCTAATTTTGTTTATAGAAACAAACGCGATTTTGATTATTCTTACAATTCTCATTGCATTTATCGATTTGCTACTCTTGCGCAATACTAATGAAATTGATATTCCCTCCGGCGTTGCAACAGCGATACGATTCATTAGACGGTACCCCAGGGCGCAACTCTTGACGAGCAATCTCGCGAAATTCATATCACGAGCAGCGGTCGAAGAGCAGGCTTAGGCCACGCGTTTCTCATTTCGATCGCGAGAGGTGAGAATACACAACCGTTCGCGGCGTTACCGACTTCGCGATGCCGTTCGTGATGAAACCGATTGTAAGACTTATATACGGACGTACGCTCGCTCGTGTTCAGCCGGACCCAGCATCCTGGCACGGGGGGCACAAGTGTACATCGTCGTGTAATGCCTCATAGAAAGGCAAGAGAGAGCAAAGGGCCCCTCAAGATGTTCGCGCGGCGCGCACACACAGTCACGACGTTGTCCGATGCACACGCACGTGCGCACATGCGAGGTGGATTTGCGATAGAGTGAGAGAGAGAGAGAGAAAGAGAGAACGTGTGTAAGGTCGTGATGCGCGATGCTGGAGGAGAAAAAGAGAGAGGACCCCGTGAGGATACGAGGCAGAGCAGCGCGCGGGGTACACGTAAAGGGGTCCTTCGTGCTCCCGGAGGTGGAATGACTTAGGAAGGGGGCTACACAGAAGGGGGGACAAGCCGCGATGGATAGGGGGGAGGCCCGCAGGCCGGCCTGCGGCTCCAACTTCAGTATCCCCGGAGCGACCGAGTCGTGTATCCCGCGAACGTCACTGCGTTTCCGCGCTCCAGCGTGCACAAGATACAGTGATAGGAACGGTACACACACACACACACACACACACACACACACACACACACGTGTACGTACACATACATTCTTATGCACGCCGGCTACTAAGCGGCGTACGTGCGTGTTTACACACATACGCACGCACACACGCTAGTACGTACGCTGGACACGTGCACACACCTGTTCAACGCGCGTTTCCGCGGCGGCGCCGACGCCGGACGGTCGATTTCGCGGGCTCTCGCGGTGTGTCACGCGTGTTGTACGTAAGCAGTGTCACACATCTCGTCCTCCCGACATAGTGCTTAGATACATATCTCTTTCCTTTTCCAAGGATCTCGGGGAAGTCTCTTCATCAGAGGTCAGGACCGCAGGATTCTAAACCTAATAAACCTAAGTATATCGGTGCAGTACAACGAGCATTTTACAAAGATAAACAAATTCAGTGTGAACGATTTCCACGAGATTTCCTCCTCCTTCGTCGGGAATTTTAATTGACGCATAGAATGTGATTGGAATTACCTGATAGACCGAATTGTTTCATGTACACTATTGCAGTAGCATGTCAACGGATTGAAGAATCATTCACTGAAATCAAATTTATCTTTTAATTATATTTCTGAGAAGAAAAAGTACACGTGCGACGCGGGCTAACTCTACCAACATCCCAGATCGATTTTGAACTGTCGTATTGCCCGTACATGTAGAACACGTGTTGAACGACACGATTTGTGCATCGAAAAAAAATAGATGTCGAAGCAGCATTTGTGATCATCAGGTTTATAAGCTTTTTCCTATCTCCGATGAATTTGACGTTAATCACGTAATTAGTTTTGCACACAAACGAATCAAGTGATAAAGCGAAAAAAAAGAGGCGCGAGAGAAGAGTAACCTCTCATGATTGGAGTATTCTCCGGAGCGAGAGGTATGCGAAGAAGTTTACGCGAATCTCATCAAAGTCTTTCTTCAACGTCGTTCATGTACGAAAATGAGGATTCGAGAATCTTTATGAACGAGAAATAGTGAAGAAAAACGCATGCGAGTCTTCCGCATTCACCGAGTGTTCACGAGTGTTTAGTGCTCAGCGAAAAAGAAAAAGGATCCGTCCCTCCACGCGGAGGACATCAGTGGATATTCGGTGTTGGTGCGCGGACCGGAAAAATCTGCGTAGTGCAGTGTGCCAATAATAGAGATCAATAATATTCGGTGAGAGTGGTGAGAGAAAAAGAGCGAAGGATACACACGAACGGTGTAGTACGAGAGGACAGCGGAGGATCCACTAAAAGCGCAGAGGAGTGCTCGAAGAAGCGGCTGAGGAAAAGCAGCAGGGGATATCGATGATATGCGGTAGTCGAGGGATTCCTCAGGGAGAGACATGAGGGCGGCCACCACCTACGTCCTGTTCCTTGCCCACCTCATACAGGTATGCACATGTTGCTTTACACCTTCCTCCGATTTGCGAGGATACTCTCTCTCTCTCTCTCTCTCTCTCGCTTCTCTTCACGTTTCGAAACGAGTGAAAAGAGTCATTTGAAATGTCAAGTAATAATAGCGATATCGTCACCCTCGGGGTATAATTCGTGCAAATACAAACTAGTCAGAGAAAAGGTGAATAGAATAAATTTTGCGTGGGATGTTAAATAAGCTGGATAAGCGTTACTTTCTGTGGTAGGTCTAATTCCAAAAATTGTAATTTGTCAAGTTGAGAGAGAGAGAGAGATGTGCAGTAAATTACAATTATAAATCTGCAAACCTACACTCGCGATTGCGTTATCAGCTACGATATGAAAACTTAATAGAATAAATTTTACTTTTAAAGAGAGAGGCGTGATTTATAACGCAGATGTTAAAATAACTGAAACCTCCAAGTGTTACATCCAATCTAGTAATGCAAACTCCTTAGCCACTGCAACATCTTTCCCTGCAGGCATTTGAGCCGGCATTTAAGAGCCGTAAAAAGCATAGCAGAGCGAGACGATTCCAGTGTTTATACTTATAATCAGGGGCATAATCAGTGCGAACGTGCACGTTTTAGTTTGTGCGAACGACTGTTTTCGCGATCGTTAAGACATGATTAGATTGCGTTAACGTTGTACATTTGCTCGATCGCCAGTAGTAAATCTTTACGCAGTCGAGTGAAAAGTATCCCCTTCTTTTACTTTGCTCGGCGACAAGTGAGATCGGGAGAAAAAAAGTTAATGCGGTGGTACAACGGGCATTCGAACGGATGATGCAAGCATACAGAACGCAGTATTCATACAAACCCTCAGGCGTACATTCGCAAAAATAAACAGTTGTGACAAGCCATTACGATATACATTTATGTATGATTGAATCCAGGTCTTTTTCTTTACATGTCTATATCAAATCGGTTGTTGTGTTCATAAACTATTATCTTATATTATAAATTAAGTTTAAAAATTAAATTGTTTATCATTTGCTAATTATAGGCGCACAATATGCTTTTATACAGCAAAAATCACTTAACAATCTTAACATTAAAAGTATTAAACGTTCGTTATATTAATATTTCTAATAAAAAATATTATATATCTTGCGTGTAAAAGATTCTGAAACTTTTTGGTTTTTTAATAATTGTATTATTTATACTGATAAAATATTTTGTTTCTTATTATTTTCTTTTTATAGTAATTTATTCGCCTGGTCCTATTAATGAGTAAGAAACGTTGGTACTTTCAGTGTTAACATATCTTGCGCAAAATGTAAGAAATCGAGTATAATTGAATAGCATGAATATCAATAATAACTTGAAATATTTATACGCTTGTACATACTTTTGCTATTATTGGTTTGTAATAATGTAATAGAAAATACTTGTACTTGATTCACGAGTATCGTCTCGTTATCAACATGATTTATACAAGATCTATACTACCACCGCATATCGGAAGTTAATTTGCAAGATAGTGCGGCGAGATTTCCATACCAGTCCCTGTGACCATTATAGATCATTGCGATCTCAGCGCATAGCGTTGACTCCTTTCAAATGCTCATAGTTTACCGCTTGTTGCATCACCGCACAAGTGCTATCATGCGTGATGCAGCATCTGCGACGCGAGGCCGTTCTCACGTACGTGTTTTGATCTCACCAATCTTCCGCCTTGGGGGAACGATCAATGATATATGATAAAATTTTAATCGGACAAAAGTAATAAAGAAAGCTAGCTTTTATTATTAATCTTTGTAGCTATTTTAATCTCAAAGAAGTCAAATACCGTCAAATTTTAATTATCATAGATTAAAAGAGAGAGATGGATAAAAAGAATTTTTCGTATTTATTTTTCATTAGTATACATACAGTTTAAAAATATATGCACAAAAAAATAATTTATATTACAGTTTAACACAATGATAGAATTGTTATTTCTGATATTAAAAATGGAATAATAAAGCATTCCATAAATCAACAAATTATAAGAAACAAACACTTAATACCCTTCATTTTCTCATATTCTTATTGCTTCTAATGCATACTTTTTATTGCTTTCACATGTATATAACAAAGTCAGCTTTTACCTGATATACTCGCTCATACGATTACATAATTTAATTGATAGCTAAATTATACGTTGATATATCATAACCATATAGACATTTAAATATACATTTCGAAACCAAATTATTACAATTAATTATTTATAAAGATTATTGCATTTATCAAAGTCATTTTAATTTCAATGTCTACGTGTAAAAAACGATTTTATGTATTTAAATCATTAAAGTGAGCAAATTACTGTAAAGTGGAGCGATTAGATAAATAAAAGTGAGAGAGACGATGATTCATTCTCTGGATACAGTTTATTATAATTTACTTAGATATCAATGCGATAAGAGACTCCATTTTTTTACAATCTTATAAAAGTTACATCTAATTTATATGTATGTTTTTACAAATTAATATATTCTCACGTTCGGTGTGAAAAGTAACTAAAAAATAAGTCCATCAAGAAAAAGCAGCTTTTTACACTTGATAGAATTAGTAAGAAAAACTACGATTATTCCGTACAAGGACTGTTTGAAAATGCGATAGAGTTTCACATCACGGGAAAAAGATTTCCTCTCTGTTTCATCGGATATCAATGATAGGAATTTACTTTTAATCAATCGACATCTCTTTACGTTAGCCTCGTAATCGTTGGCTGTTTTTGTGTATCACTGTGCGTAACATATCGCTGGATAACTACTATTTTAATGCGCCTCTCTTGTGAATTGTACAAGGATAGAAGGATGGCATTATACATCCTTTTCCTTATTCTTAGCCAAGAGAGATTACGCATTTACGACGTAAGTATAGCTTTTTTTGCGGATGTTGCCCCGTCACTCGCATTTATAATTTTCTTATTGCGTCTCTCCTCCCTATTGTGCACTCTCCCAGATAGCTTCGTCCAGAAACGACAATGTCACGCAGTTTTCATTCGTACTGCAAACTTACTTATTCCATCGAATAGAGGACTAGACGTAATTACACACACGTACACATAAAAAAAATCTCTCTTGGTTGAAAACAAGGTAAAGGATGTAACGCCGCTCTTAATACATATAATATTTTTTTAATTAGCAATCATGGCTCTTTAAGCTTAACTTTCTACATTTATATATATTACATGTCTCCTATATATAGTTTAAGCTTCTTACAAGTTTGCCATATATTGCACTGAAAATGTATAGTGACGCGTTATAATTAATATCAGGTTTTGCCGTATACATTGCCATGAGTTTTCTTTTTACATAAATTACAACATAATTTGTTCGGTCATGTTGTGCAGCGCCGGTACACGCATAGTATTTTTATTATTGTTTACAAGCACACCTGTGAACATGTATCAATTTATTAGAGACTATTGATGTTGCCCGTAAAACTGAAGTAACAATACGGTATAATAGGAAATTCTGTATACTAATTTACAAAATATATGTATTTTTTTCAAGAGACAGCGCGGGCCAAAATAAAAATGATTATAACTTGTTTCTCTCATAGGTATATCCCGTCGTTTTGCCGTGGTATCTTGGGAAAGAGCCGCAATCATGAGCGAAAATGATTAAATTATAAATATCAAATGTAAATTACCGGGTTAAAGTATGATGCGTGTGTTCGCCAGCGAGGAGGCAAGCAAATCCACGCTTCCGTAACGATCGACAATTTCGGTCGAACCCGACGAATAATGGGAGCTTAGGAGCCGCGTTGCTTCGCTCCGACCTGGAGTTATCGGGGGTCACCTCCACTCTTAGCCCTCTCTCTTGTAAACGACTTTCGAAGAACGGGCCGCGCAGTAGAGAAGAGGGTTCCTTCGTTTTCTGTCCGTTGTTCCCTCGATGATTTCGACCTAGTGCAATTAAGCCGCCGCCGTTGCTGCTGTTGCTGCCGCGTTGTGTGCGCTGCTGTCTTTCAATTACAGTCCGAGCGGAATTACCGTTATAACGCGATGCTGAAAAAAGTTCTCCGAAAGTGGTCCGAAGAAACGCATATTCCACGTCCGCGTGTGTGTCTCTTCGACTATGCCGTTCCACGTGTTGTGTTTTAAAAGAAATGTTGGACTAGGGAAAATTTTTATTATATAAAGATATCTCTTTTAACTAAAAAAACTTGATCAATTACTCAAAGTGTTGAAGTAGTTTGCTAAAGATACATTAATTTAAGGGAACACATTAGCTATTTTGTTTATGAATTTTACCACACGGCACACACTATGTGATAAGTTAGTCGTGAAAAAAGTCTAGAGAGAAAAATATATATGAACCTGAGAAAGGGAACTTAAGGCTTCACACGGTTGCGTTGTAATTTGCAAAGCGATTACTTCCGCGCAATTTCTTACGCGATTCTCTAGACTTTCCACGTGCGCAGCTGACGCTTCCTCCGACCGCGGCGATCGATGAGCCTACGATTGAGATCAACCCGGAAGTAAGCGCATGATTTTTTTAAACGTATATGATGAAACGATTATGATACATACTTTCAGATCGTTCTCGAAACATATGGCGTATGAGAAATTATTGTTTTTGTAAATAGCTGTATCTTTTGGATGCTACTGTAACTAATTAACCAATTTTTTCCCAATCGGAAAGTGAAATATCTTGCTGTGATAGAAATGCTTTCTCTATATTTTACATTACATGTTTCTTTAGCCTTTAGAATTCTCTACAGATGAAATATTTTATTTTTATTTGACGCGGCGCGCAATCACGGTTAATCGAGTGCGATCGACTTCGGCCGTCTGCAGATTAAAGACGATTTCACGGGAAGCCGCGGCCTTGCGGATCGGAAGGTGTTGATGCGGCCTGACTAACGAATATTGAACCACCGGACTAGCAGATCGGCTATCTCATCGTGATTTTCCGCGGCGGAGATTCCGCGACGACGCGGACGATCGCACAGTAGAGAAAGAGAGACGCCAGGCTATTAAG